TCCCACATCCACAAATCAACATTTATTCACATTTAAACACTGTAAAAACTGAAATATGCTTTTACAGACGGGCAATTCAACTTTTGGATTTTACAACGCTATATAACCTGAAATTCTCCACCACAGATCCAGAAAAAGGATGATGGGATAGCACATTTGTGGCCAACAGAGAGAGAGAGTTGAGCAGAAGGTGTAATGCTGTAGCTACCTATGCTTGCACAGAAGTCATCTGAGCCAAACACCACACCGTCATGGTGGAGACCAGCTTTGGGAGCAAGTCGACGGATTTCCTCACACACCGCCTGGAGAGAATATGTATCAGTATAACACAAGCTGACTAAAATGTGATACAGATGAAAAGATGGAAATATTAGCACAAATGCTGCAGAGTACATCTAGTTATACTCCAATATTGCGACTGTAAATAAAATTATCCGGAAATTATGCAGTTTCCTTTCCAGCCATCCTCACACATTCTCATTCTCTCCAACAAATATGCAAATGAACACAGCTCCTAACTGTTATTCCAGCTTATTTTTCATAAAGACTGCTAATAATAGACAAACCCTTCAAATATGCCACCTGCAGGTAAACATACTATAGATAAATAGAAACAAACCAATACAGCCAGTAATACTACAGATGCCTGTTCACTCTTGGCCCAAGACTATCTTAGTTATCGAAGTAGTGGCGAGTACCATAAATACTTTTTGAGTACCATTCTGAACGTTTCTACACAAGTCACTGGCTGAAACAATAAAGTTTTAAAACCTGACAAGTACTGAAAGCTGACATTGAGTGCTGGGTTGGATTTGTCTTTGTTTACTTATTCTACAACAATTTATTAAAAGACTTATTTTATGTTTTGTATTATGTTCTGTGTTGATTTTAAGTTCTTGTACTGCTATTTTGTATTAAGAAAACATGAATTACTGTTGCATTGAAAAGTTTATTATGTAAAATTAAAAATATATATATTTTTACAGGAAATTCTGTTTTTTTAAAGAGGTACTGAAACATAAGTCAGATACCGTATTAGTACTTGTACCAAAAAATGAGACTAATGGCAACAATTATTATCAAACGAGGAAAGCAAAATACATTTAAAAAAAATCTGGAATGTTATTGTCTGTGGTGAAGAGCGTGAAACAATAAGAACATGTCTCCTGCTTTTGTTGGCCTCCAAATTAATTTCACCACTAGCTGTGCCACAGCGATTTTTTTCGTGCCTGTAACCTGGGGTTCAGTCTGGGCAAAGATACAGGGTGTTCTCAAGAAAGCACACAGAGGCACCCCCTGCCAACAAAACACACGCACACACTAACAACCACAAACACAGTCACAGAATTAGAGTGGAGAAGTGATAGACGAATCAAACGACAGCTTGTTTCTCCCCAAATGCCCAAACCCATGCCCTTTTCCCCATGTAGCTGAAGGTCGTGCGGTACTATAACAGGAACTGCTTTGATGCTTGCCAAAATATCATTAAGAACTTTTCCACTATGATGATATTAAAACAGTTCTAATTAAAAAATGTCAGCGTGTCTGGAGAGGGATAGAGAGATACGCACACAGACAGACACAGAGAAAGGAAACAAAAAAAAAGGCTCAAAAGGCTCATTTTGAGAGACTGTCCGAGAGCTTTGAATCCCTTTCATTTTGGACACGTGGAGCGCACAGCTCGCTGACACAGTCTTTAATCTAAAGTGAACAATGGACAAACAGCAAAACGTCTTACGCAGGCAGTTTTTTGGGGGGATTTGTTTGTAATTTACCTTAAAATTGAGCAGGCCCACAGCGGTTTCCACAAAGGTGACCAGGCGAATGGGTTCTGTCAGTGCCCGTCCTTTCAAGTTGTGCTGAAACCTGTCAACAAACTGAACACACCGGCACACAATCTCACGCACGACTCATTAACAACACCCACTGTTTCTGTAAATAGAAAACAATAAACCTCCAAAACAATCACAGTAAATTAATTTGTTCTCGCTATTTTGTACAATCATAGTCGCCACATTCATTAGACGTTTGTTGGAGCATCTCTGTAGCATTTGCTATTTTAAAGATACTTTTTGCTGCTTATGATCAGCTTGTGCGATATATTGACTATGATACACACAGACCATTAAAGGAAATATGTTCTGCTGGACTGTATTTCTGCCCAAGTGCTTGCTCTTCTGTAGAATGTGTGGTTAAAGTGTAGCTGCCAGCCTCAGTGGACTTATCAATGCATTATCAGTTATATGAATGAGAAAAACAGGAACCTCATACTAAGATACTGAGCTACTGTGTCAGAGTGAATTCAAAACTGGAAGAAGAAAAAAAACTGTTCAGCAGTAAAAAAAAAATAAAAAAAAATAAAAATACATAAGTGACATGACACGTCCTCTTCAAAATCCACCTGTGGGGTAAGACAGGAGACGAAGGAGAAAAAAAAACTTAACGTGCAAAAACTCACTTTTGATACGAATCTTGACACCTTTATTACCTGCACTGTTCCCATTTCAGTCCTTATTCAGTAACACATCTATGAGGGTTCAAATAGCGCAGAGAGCGAGCACAGGAGAGCAGCAACAAAAGCGGGTGAAATGAAATATTTTACATTATCACCAGGGTTCCCCCTTCGTCTGAAGTCTTCTGCTCTACCTTCTTTCATAGGCTCTGCACAACTACAGCATGTGCTCCCCTGAGAATGTGCACACATGTAAATGCACACATGCACGCACGAGCACATGCATATACACGGCAAACCAAAGAAGAAACAAAATACCGAAAAAAGGGGAGAAGAAACAAGATTTGGGATGTCTTTGAGTGTGTTTAACTCCTACATTATTCTGTTTTGCGTTCCCCCCCCTCCATGGCAGGGAACAGGGAGACTGGAGCAACAATCAGAGTGTGATGTGACACTTTGCTGAGGCCTTTATTCTGCACGACTCCTGCTAATATGCAAGCTCACCTAAGTAGGGCTTTAAAACCAAGTTTAATTCTTTGAAGACCAAAGCATTCAATTTTTTCCAACAGACCAGTTCACAGCTAGCCCTGGACTGCCAGTGGGGTAGCCCAAATTCCAAAATCTATCATCTGGAAACACACAAAAGCCCCCTCCGTCAGATATTTCCTTTCAAAGCCAGTCACAAAAAAAAAAAAAAAAAAGGAGAGGGCCCAAAAGCTCAGAGTAGAAATGTCTAACTCCATGTCCCCCCTTCCTCTCCCTTTTCTCGCTCCCTCTTTGACACACCAGGAAAAAGACAGATATAAATAACCTCAGGTACAGCACTGCTATTTTTCTAAATGAAGAGCAAAATAACCCCCACGCTCGCACTCACCACTCTTGTTCTCAAAACTGAAAGAGTGGGCCTCCATTGAAGGATTTCAAAAATAGGGGCAATTTTAATCATCTCTCCATTCAATCTCAGTTGGATAAATCATATCTGAGAGATTTGCATAAATACAAACCATCAAAGACTTTTCATCTTCAAAGAGGTTTTCAAGACCCAATAGGCTTTGTACTGTAATCATCTGAGGTCACAACCCTGTGGGAGCAAGGCTGCTATGGCAACATAAAAACTAATGCTGGGGGCTTAGCATAATATCCCCTCTCCTTCGCAAACACAGGAAGGGGTGGGGGGGGTCTGAGAGGGAGTGTGAAAAGAGGGTGTAGATAAACCTATTTCTGTGACAGAGGAAACTAGATAGATATGGCCCGTCGTGGGGAAACCTAGCTGATATTACACGCAGAGATTACCACCACGACACTGTGCCACGCAAACCCTAACAAGGCTGTGGCGAGCCACGCAGGCTGTTTGGATTCTGCCGGAGGAAAACAAATGACAGCTCAATGTGGCACCACTGGATAAAAAGCCTCCTAGCCTCTCCGATTACATGTTTCTGTCCTTCTGCTGTATTCTCCTCTTCAGCTATTATGCACTTTGAGGGCCTGATTTACACTGCATAAGAGGGACTATAGTGCTTGTTCATTGTTGCTCTGGCGTGTACAGCAACCATTAGCTGTCAATGGCTCTCCAAACTAGGACCCTTTAAGATGTTATTCACTACTGAATTGGAAAAAATAAAAGAATAGAAAAAGGAAGAAATAACACCTCTTCCTGCCATTCACAGCCACGCTACAAACAAGCCCTCTGACAGTTTTGCCACCCAATCATGAAAAGAGAAGGAGGGAGAGATGGAGCTAGAGAAAGGAGGCTATAGTGGGACAAGTTTCAATTAATTTTCTTCAAAAGGGGGCCAGATTAAATGTTTCCGGCCTGCTGAAGTGTTCATTTCACAGAGGGGAAGCGGAGAAAGGGATGAGGGGAGGGGACAGGAGGAGGAGTAGAGGAGGAGGAGCGGGACAGGGTGCGATTCTTTCGGTCCCAGTGCACACCAAATAGTGTGGTGGGCAAAGAATGCACACGGCTCCGAATCTGTGTGAGAATTGTCCTCAGACAAAGGAGGGAGTTACGCCTGTTATAGCCCAATAAGGCCTGTCAGTCACACAAGGCCTGGGGGAGAGGAGAAAGGCAGAGCTAAAGATTTCCACACAAAGGGAAACAAGCAAGTCCATCTTTTAGCGACAAATCAGTCTGGAGGTTCCTGTGCTAATATCAATAAAAAAGGGAGAAAAATAAACAAGTGAGGGATTTACTGCATGGCCTTACAAGAGTGGAGAAAATCAGACACATGCTTACAACACAGGCCCACAGAAAAGCATGTGTGAAGGAGACAGGAAAAAAGTTGGAGGGACAAAGATGAGATTAGATGAGCACACATGAATCAATGAAGGTCCCATCCAGAGCTACAGACTTGACTCAGTTTCAGGAGCACACATGCACCTGCTGATGCAGAAACACACTGATGGCCAACACACTGTAAATCAAATGTGCAAACAGATTGCATTGCACTCAATGTGGTTTATGCAAACAACATTTAGTATTTACTATGCAGAAAAAGTAAACTAAAGCTGGAAATGATCCACATTTTAGTAATAGTAATAACATTAACAACAAAGAAATGAATGCCAAAAAAAAATTACCTTTTTTTGTAAAGTGAGAAAAATTAGCAAAGAGAGAAACGGCTGAGTTGAGGGAGAGAATTTGTGAACACCTGTCAGCAATTATACTTGGAAGAAAGGCAGCAGGAAATAGATGTCTGCTAATTAAAACCACTAGTTAAAAACTTCCTGCTGCAAGACCATGTATGAGTATATATGTGTATATATGTGTGTTTATAAATAAATATATAATATATAATATATATATATATATATATATGTGTATGTATGTATGTATGTATGTATGTGTGTGTGTGTGTGTGTGTG